GATGGGGGATCCCTTCTAGGGGGGTCCCCATCGTGCGGGATCCCCTGGGTGATGGAGGGATCCCCTGGGCAGTGGGGTCCTCTGAGTGGGGGGGTCCCCATTGTGTGGGGTCCCCTGGGTGATGGGGATCCCCTGGGTGACAGGGGAGTCCTCTGGGTGATGGGGGGCTCCCCTAAATGGGAGGTCCCCACGGTGGGGGGATCCCCCTGGTTGACAGGGGATCCCCTGGGTGACGCTGCCCTCGGGGTCCCCCTTTTCCCCCACCCCGCAGTCTGCGGCAGCATGGACATCCGCAACGACGCGTCGCAGCTGCAGAAGCTGGAGAACTGCTCCATCATCGAGGGCAGCCTGCAGATCCTGCTCATGTTAACCGCCGGCGCCGACGACTTTCGGGGCCTCAGCTTCCCCCGCCTGCTGATGATCACCGAGTACCTGCTCCTCTTCCGCGTCTACGGCCTGGAGAGCCTGCGGGATCTCTTCCCCAACCTCTCGGTCATCCGCGGCACCAAGCTCTTCTCCAGCTACGCCCTGGTGATTTTCGAGATGCCGCACCTCCGCGACGTGGGCTTGCACAGCCTGGGCCACATCCTGCGCGGCGCCGTCCGCATCGAGCGCAACCAGGAGCTCTGCCACCTCTCCACCATCGACTGGGGGCTTCTGCTCCCCGACGCCGCCGAGAACACCTACATCGTGGGGAACAAACTGGCCGAGGAGTGCGCCGACGTCTGCCCCGGCATCCTGGACGTGGAGAAGCCCTGCGCCCAAACCAGCGTCAACGGGCAGCTGGATTATCGCTGCTGGACCTCCAGTTACTGCCAGAAAGGTAACGGGGTTGGGGGGGACTGGTTTTGGCTGTGGGGTGGACTGGGGGAGCCGGTGAACTGGGGGAGCCGTGGGGGTAACTGGATCCGCGCTGTAGCGTTCGCCGGGTCCCGGCCGCGGTGTTTTCCCCCGGGGTGGTGAACGCGGGCCCCTCCCGGGCGTTTGCTGTAAACAGGAGAGTGGTAACAGAGCTGGAGCAGAAACACCATAAACACCATCAAAACACCGATCCTTATCGGGCTGCGGCTGCGGGCACGGCCCTGGCACCGGCTGAGCCTCGCCCCGTCCGTCTGTCTGTCCGTCCACTCGCTATTTGGCCATCCCTGCATCCGTCCACTGCTTCATCCATCCCTGCATCCTGCCCTCTATCCCTCCATCCATTCCCAGATCCCTGCATCCATTCCTTCAACCTCTATCCATCCCTTAATCCTGCATCCCTGCATCCACCCTTCCATCCATCCCTGCATCCCTCCATCCATTCCCACATCCATCTTCATCCCTGCATCCATCCGTTGCTTCATCTATCCATCCATTCCTCCATCCATTTTTCCAGCCCTGCATCCATTTCTCCACTCCTTCATCCGTCATTTCCTCCATCCCTGCATCCATCCATCCATTCCCACATCCATCTCCATCTCGGCATCCATTCCTCCATCCCTGCTTTCATCTCTGCATCCATCCATCCATTCCTCCATCCATCCCTTCATCCCTGCATCCCTCTATCCCTCCATCCATTCCCACATCCATCTCCATCTCTGCATCCCTGCATCCATCCCTGCATCCATCCCTCTGTCTATCTCTGCATCCATCCATTCCTGCATCCCTGCACCCATCCATCCCTCTGTCTCCATTCATTCCAATATCCCTGCATCCATGCCTCCATCCATCCCTCTATCCCTGCATCCATCCACTCCCATATCCCTGCATCCATCCCTTCATCCCTGTATCCTTCCATCAATCCCTCTATCCATCCCTGCAGCCATCCAATCATCCCTTCCTCTATCCCTCCATCCATTCCTCCATCTATCCCTCAGTCCCTCCATCTCTGCATCCATCCCTGCATCCATCCATCTATCCCTCCATGTATCCCCATCTATCTCTCAATCCCTTCATCTCTGCATCCACCCATCCATTCCTCCATCCATCCCTCCATCCCTCTATCTCTCCATCCACTCCCACATCCCTCCATCCATCCCTGCAGCCGTACAATCATCCATTCCTATATCCCTGCATCCATTTCTCCACCATCTATCCCTCAATTCCTTCATCTCTGCATCCATCCATCCATTCCTCCATCCATCCCTGCATCAATCCCTGCATCCATTCCTCCATCCATCCCTCTATCCCTCCATCCATTCCTATATCCCTGCATCCATTCCTCCACCATCTATCCCTCAATTCCTTCATCTCTGCATCCATCCATCCATTCCTCCATCCATCCCTCTACCCCTCCATCCATTCCCACATCCCTGCATCCCTGCATCCATCCCTCCATCCATCCCTCTATCCCTCCATCCATCCATTCCTGCATCCCTCCATCCCTCTATCTCTCCATCCACTCCCACAGCCCTGCATCAATCCCTCCATCCATCCCTCTATCCCTGCATCCATCCATTCCCACA